CCTGATAACGGTAAAGGGCAAACGACCAATGATAGAACGACCCGTGTTTTTTTTCCCTATATAAGCGGCCACATTTTTGTACACGGGGTCTCTCGCTCAAGCTCTCCCATTAACTAAAAAGCTCTCCAGTAAAGTGTGATTTGAGAAGACTCCTGGTATGGTGGTCGTTTTACTCGCTGGCCGAGAAGGCGTTCGCCGCATATAGCCCTAGCTTTTTTAATCTCCTGAGTCCTTCCCAGCCAATTACTTAGCAGGGGCTTGATGTAAGGCACTTGTGATGGGCACTGCTTGATGACAGGCACTGATTGGTCCCCCAGGGGCATGTAGGGAACGTGGACAGCTCATGGCTGGCAAGCTAGGCAGACATGCCTGTGGGTCATGTCTCTATGAGCAGGAAGTGTGCTTCACCTGCTACTCTAGCTGACTCAACCAGATCTGACCGGCTCTACCCACATCTTACCCAAAGAATTAACATTTGTCTGGCAGGAAATATACCTTCCTGGGAAAATGCTCCCCCCAAACTTAAGCAACCTACTACCCACATTGAAGACAACATGACTCCTTCCTTATGTCAGTGATGAGCATCTCTTTTATGGCAGGATGCATTGTTATCTGGAAAGAATGCCCAAGACATTCAGAAATTGAGTAAGTGTAACAGCAGGAGTGATGAAAGACAAAATTCCTTTATCATATAAACATACCTGACAGCCAAAGAGCTGTGTGCTTTTCCTTTAGAACATTCACACTCTGTTAGAGTGTGTCACTTTCTTTCTGTTTGTCTGCATGCTTACTTGCTTGTTGACTTACTCAGTAAAGCTCTGTCACTTTTCTTACCATTGTGAATTGTCTAGAAATTCTTACTCTGTGATCAAAGTCAAGGACCCTAAGTCAAGAGTCCCTACTTTTAGTGGGAAACTTCTGTAATCATCACCTGCATTTGGTGACACTACAGGTCAGTATTATAGGTCTTGCTTCATTTGCTTAATGTTTTCCCCAAGTGTTTCTATTTCTATTTCTGACGGATCAAATTGTGTGTGTGTGTGTGTGTGTGTGTGTGTGTGTGTGTGTGTATGCCACATTTTCTTGATTAACTCATGCACTGCGGGGCCTCTGTGTCGATTTCATAACTTGGCCATGGTAAACAATGTTGCAATAAACATGGTTGTGCTGGTGGCTTTAGAGTGGCCTCGTTTTTGTTCTTTTTCAACCTCTGTGGAATGCAGTATTGAGGTTCCTCAAATGACTAAACACAGAGCTTCTGGAGTTCACTGTTTAGTGTAGTGTTCAGATAATACAGTCTGGTTCTTACAGAGTGTTTGTAAATATCCTCTGTTAAGGGTAATTGTATGAATGTATTCTAAAAAGACTAGGTATATTTGAAGGCTTATTAACATAATTTAAGTAGGATGAATTTATTTTTTCCTTCGAAAGAGAAGGCTGTACTTCATTTTTATTTTTATTTTTTGTATTTGTAAACATTTATTGTCCAACTGAAAAAGGCTTGCATCAGCACACATTGTACAGCCTTGCAAATTACACAGAAATTGAAAAGAAGGTTCCTAAGTGCAATGAATTTTTGATGTCCAGTAATCTACTGCAAACAGTGGAAACAAAATTTAAACCACTTGAGAAAGTTCCAGCTCTCTGAATATATACATATACATACATATGTACACACACACACACAAACGCATATATATATATATATACATACATATTTTATTATTTATTTATTTATTTATTTTAGGGTCCAGACATGGGGCGTGAACTCTGGGCCTGGGTGCTGTCCCTCACCACTTCAGCTCAAGGCTAGCTCTCTACCACTTGGGCTACGGCCCCACTTCCGGCTTTTTTCTTTTTTCTTATGTGGTGCTGAGAAATCGAACCCAGGCCCTCATGCAAGCAAGGCAAGCCCTCTACCACTGAGCCACCTTCCCAGCCCCATACGTATTTTATTTTAATGGTACTGTACAGAGGGGTTACAGTTACATGAATAAGGTAATGAGTACATTTTCTATCAAGAATTGTTACCACCTCCTTTGCTTTCCCCCTAGCATCCTTTCCCTCCCCACTTCCCCAACTCCTCTTCCCCACAAAGTTGTGAAGTTCATTTTCAACATAGTGTATTGTACATCTCATTGGTACAATGGGTCAACCTGTATCTTTATTTCAGTGATTTATTTCCCTTCCCCTCCCCAAATTAGAAAAATGTATATACAAGATGCAAGTGTACTTTATTTTATGAGTATGTGGTGTCATGTATCACTGGCTCATGCCTCTAATCCTAACTACTCAGGGGGCTGAGATCTGAGGATATTGGTTTGAAGACATTCTGGACAAGACAGTCCAGGAGACTCTTATCTCCAATGAACCACCAAACAGCTAGAAGTAGAGATGGAGGTCAAGCAGTAGAACACAGCCTTGAACAAAAAAAGCTCACAGGGACAGAACCCAGGCCCTGAGTTCAGGCTGGAGGAACAGAATATACACACACATGCTGGTACACTCACACAAACACATCACTGAATTCCCCGTGTGTATAAAATGAAACCCATGCATGGCCCCATGGTTTCTGTGGGGTATTGCCTCACATTTTAGGGGATTTTGCTTTTAATTGATATTCTGCTTTCTACACTGATCCTTCTCCTCAAATTCACTCACATTTCATCTTCCTACTTCCAAGACACTTGCATCCTCCAAGAGCTTCAGTAATATTTGCACTGCCAAAGTCACTAAAGACACTTCTGTTCTTCAATATGCTTGATGGCTTAGTAGCAGAGACACAAAGAACTGTAGCTGCTCTTCTTGATATGGTCATGGATTATTTCTCATGTATTTCATTTTGGGTACAAACTGGATCCTGAAAGTCAAGGTTGTTGGGAGTCCTATGGCATTAAAATATGTCATGCAGGCAGAAACATCTACTTTGAAATTGAATTTTCTATGTGTCAGTCCCGAGGTTTGAACTCAGGGATTGGGCACTATCCCTGAATCTAGCAAAATCTGCCATACTGTTACATATAAAACACATATTCTTTGCAATAAATAATGTAAAGATACAAAATCTCTACTTCAATTTACTTATTCTTCAGTTTGTTCTCATTTCATTCTCCCCTCCAGCATTACAGTGTTAAATCAGTCTTTCTAAAGCATTGCTTTGATTTTTCTTAACACCTGATTTTAAAAAGGCAATGATTTTCTACCACCTGAACTTTTCTTTTTTTTCAGATCCACAGTTCTTCCTTCAGCTTTGTCCTTGCTGTGGTTTGTGTCTTCTCCAATATGACAGAATTAAGAGGTGAGACCTTTTCAATTTGATTAGGAAATGGAGGGACAAAGAGTGAACCAATACAGCAGTTGTACTCACTAGACACTATGTGGCAAAGGAACTATACAAGTTGTGGATGTAAATGGAGGGACAAACTGGGAAAGTACAGGGAAAGAGGAGACATTGTCCAAAGAGAAATCTATTCTTTACCTGACTTGTATAACAGTAACCCCCCATGTATATCACCTTTATAATAACAATAAACATTTTTAAGTTGACAAAAACTTATAAATATCTTTTAGGAATAAGTAAAAAAAATAACCCAGCAATCCACTCTCCTTCTTAAACCTCTTGCTTCTTGGGGCTACAGAACCTTGAAAGACAAGGCCCAGTTGTGTCATATCTAACATCACACCTGGGGGTCATTATTTGTCATCAGGGATGAGCTATACCTCCTTGCAGATTTCAGAAACTCCTCAATTACCCCCTAGCTCTGTCCAACTAAGAGCATCTGGCCTTTCTTGGCCTCATTAACTTCTTTAACATCTGGATTCCCAATTTTTTCCTTATAGCCTTTCCCTTGTACTCTGCCACTAAAGGGGCCCTTTTCATTCAGCATGCTTACCAGTAGTGTTTCTAGAGCATTTTGAGAACTATTCTCTAGGTTTTTCATTGACTGCTCTGTTGCCATTTCCAAGTGAGCAGAACAAACCATAGAAACACAAGAAAAATGGCAAGTCAAGAAGCCTCAATTACCACTCCAAACAAACAGGCAACAGATTCTGATTTCTTCAGGGAGTCTTCTGAATGGTTGAATTGTTCCTTCTCTAGTACTATATAAAGAACATTGACAGATATTGAGTCTGAGCATGATCTACGGTATTTCCCCCTGTCTTGGGATCCTTTTTTCTTTTTCTATCTATTGCTATTGAGGATACTTAGGGCTAAGATGACAAGGCTCAGTTCAGACAGTCATGCACTCTCTACCTTCAACTTCCAGTGAGAAATATGGACCAATAATCAAACTACTCCTCTAGTGGTTCTGCATAAGTCATGTTGATACCCTGTCTCATTTTCTGGGAAAAAGTACACATACAGATTCCCATGGGAAATTGGTGCTGATTAATATCCTGCTCTAAAATTCTAAAGGTAGAGAGTAAGAGAGGGAAGAGAGGGGGGAGGGAGAGAAAGAGAGAGAGGAGGAGGAAAGAGAGAGAGGAGAGAGATTTCTTAGGCAAACACATTCAGTAATATTGCAAAACAGCAAATATGTGAGCAGAAATGTAAAACTATCTCAGAAAATATACTCAAGAAATTGTAACCAAAGCATGGAAACTTTCACCAAGATGAATGTTCACATATCAGTGAATTTAGCAATATACTGATATTCAAGCAGTAATATAGCCCACATATAGGGAGTGGAAGAATCACAGCAGACAATGTACTCAAATGGACGACATAGCATAAAAGGCAGATTACATTGGAGGAAGCAAAGGATATCCAGGATGAAATGGAAATTTAGAAGGTCTAAATGGAACCTTGCTCTGACTCTAACATAACCAGAAAAATGAGTAAGAGTAACTTATTAGTTGAAGGAATTCCTCAGGTCAAATTAATTTTGACTGACAAAATTGTATAAATTAGTCTCAGAACTGCTAAGCATTCTAGACAACATTTATGTTCATCTTAAGATTTATTTCCTCCAGGTGGTTGCTCCCTAAACCTGTGCAGGGAATTTCTCTCAGGTCTTATCAAGATGATGTAGCACTTGGGAGCAAAGATGCAGCCCAGGAGACCTCCACTGGAGGCCAAGATGGTGAAGACCTCCACGGCCACCATGACCTTCCCCTTAGCACTGTGGTAGACAGGCAGGAAGGTGAGCCACACACTGCAGAACACCAGCATGCTGAAGGTCAGGAACTTGGCCTCATTGAAGGTGTCAGGCAGGTTTCTAACCAGAAAAGCCACCGTGAAGCTGGCCATGGCCAGGGCACTCAGGTATCCCAGGACACAGTAGAAGGCAGTAAGGGAACCCTTGTTGCACAGGATGATGACGTGGCCATATTCAGAGTGTGCATCTGTGTCAATGAAGGGAGGAGAGATTCCCAGCCAGAGGCTACAGAGAGTCACCTGGATGAGAGTGCAGATGGGGATGATGAGGTTAGGAGCCCGGGACACCAGCCACTGCCTCATGCTTCTCCCTGGAGCAGTGAGTGTGAAGGCCAGAACCACAGTGATGGTCTTGGCCAGGACTGTGGAGACGGCCACGGTGAAGACCACTGCAAATGTGGTGTGCTGGAGGATGCACGAGGCTGCGTGGGGACGGCCAAGGAAGAGCAAGGAGCAGAGGAAGCAGCAGGTGAGGGAAATGAGCAAGATGTAGCTTAGGGCCCGGTTACTGGCCTTGACAATGGGGGTGTCTTGGTGCTTGATAAACACCCCAAGGACAGCAGCTGTTAGTACAGAGCAGCAGATAGCTGTGCAGACCAGAACCAGGCCCAAGGGGTCTTCATAAGCCAGGAAGCTCTCAGTTTTCAGCAGGCAGTGGTTTTTCTGGGTGTTGGCAAACTGATGATCTGCACACCTGACACACTGCTCCATGTCTGGTGAGGAGTGAGAATCACTATTAGTCTGTGATCAGTAATTTCTCTCTCCTCTCATCCACCTCCACTCAAGCAGCTCATTTTCCCTGATTCACCAGGTGACCTGTATTGCTTTCAATAAGAAGTACTAAACTCTCTATATCAAAATACCTTCAGGTGAAATCTCTTTCTTTCTCACATTATTTCTTTCCTTCCTCCCTTTCTCTTTTTTCTGTTTATATCCTTCCTTCATTTTCTCCCTCTTTTCCTTCCTTCCTTCCTTTTTCTTCCTTCCTTCGTTCCTTC